CAGAGGGTGCTTCAGGAATGCGTGCTGGTAAGAGACAGATCATGGGGATTTTCTTAGCAGCTGCCATATCTCCCCGTCAACAGTTTGAACAGGAAGGACTCTCTGTTTTGGGCTTCTGGATCCACAGGTTGAATAAGAGACCACAGCGCCAGCCAGGTCTATAGGGATGTGCATTTCAGGTGTGTTCCAAAGTTTAAGGCAAAAAAAAAGGATGCCCTGCTTCACAGGCTCCCATCTGGGAGGATGGGTGGGGTGCATTTACTCTGGAAGAATGACAGTGGAGTCTGGGGCAGGGTGCCTGAGTCAGGGCCTTTGTCAGTAAAGCATGTGACACTGCTTTCCCAGGCCATTAAGCTGTGGCCATTTCGAGGGCCTGTGCTGTGAAGGATCTCCATTCCTCTTTCAGGGCTAACTCATTTCACCAGAGGGGTATCAGTTCCATTCAATAACAAGCATTCTTGGCCCCTGCTCAATATGCCAGGACCTATGCTGGGCACAAGGGACATAGAAATGGGTTAGATCATGGGCTGGCCCCTTGGAGCCCACTCCCTAGTAGGGAAACTGCCATGGAAACCCACATGCAATATGGTGTGACACAGAAAATGGACCCCATATGCACAAGGGACATGGGTCATAAAGGAAAGGAGGGGTGAGAAGGCGAAACAGAAGGCCTCAGAGAGGAGATGTGGCCAAATGAAGTACAGTTTTGATAGAATTTGCCGGATAGAGTCAGTGGAAGAAAAGCGCTCTTGGCAGAGCGCGATCTGCACAAAGATAGGGAGTTTTGAAAAATATTGTCTGTTTGGGGAACTCCAAGTTCACAGTGTGGGGGCAGGGTAGAAGCAGAGAGAGGTAGGCTGGGTGATGACCTGCAGAAGTGAGTTATAACCTGTCCTGTCCCTTGTGCAGGGCGCATTTTCTGCCAACCATGAGTGTGTTCTGCCATTAGCAGTACCATCTTTGAATACTTCAAGGGTACACATATACACATGGGAATGTGCCTGTGTCTGTTAATTTGTATATGCTTATGTATAGATAATATGAGCAACCAAATTCTAGGACATGGGTGGATGAGCTCTGAGATGTAAGGAACTTCTTATAAACTGAGAGAGAGTTCAGTATAGTGGGGATTTTGGAATGGTAGAGGGTATGGAGCATAGGGGGAGCTGTGAATTGAGAAAAAGAGATCTGGATTCAATCTCTGCTCTAGAGATGATGCATATGGCTGCTCGGGTTGTTCACTGCTCAAGGACATACAGCTGATGGGGGTGATTCAGGGCTGGGTTCACCTGGGGAGGGGAGGTGCACCATTTCCTAATTCATGCAAAGGGGCTGCCTGGGCTTTGCTGGGTCAGGCTGGCTGCAGTGAGGTCGAGACTCTTCTAAATGGAAGAACTGACTCAGTTCCCAAGTGCCTTCCACCAAGTACTAAGCACACTTAAGTTGGTTGACTTGGTTTCCTCGTTGGTCAAGAAGGATCGGTTTGGTGGCATCAACTGATTTAGCCAAGCTGGGCTCCCCATTTCTCTGCTTTCCTTTTCCAGGCATCGCACCAGGATCCCCCTCTTCCTTCAAGGCAGAGCCCCACCATCTCCCTCCCAACTCCCTGGTCTCTTATTCTCTAAATATCTTCTGAGCACCCACCAGCCCTCCCTGATTGAGAGTGAAGATAAGATCAGACCTTACGGCCATCAGACACCAGCCTGTCCTAGGAGGAAGGGATGCAGAAATGCAAATTCTTATACCCTCGCTGGTTGCAGCAATTTTCACGCCTCTATTCAAAGTGAACGACCTTCTCAGATGGGAGTCTAGGCTGACTGTGATGGTAAATGAAACACGCTTCAGGGATGTACAAAACCGAAGATGAAAATCTACTTTTTGTTTTAGTGTTGCTGTGAATGAGAAAGCAGCCAGCCCTGCGGGTCAGAATCGGCTGGAGTCAGGGATATGGCTGGACTTCGTTCAGGAAGGCGGGGAGGAGAAGAGGGGGGAATGTCTGGGAGTTGATCCAAGACACAGGCAGGAAGAGCATGGAGAGGAAAATTCACGTCCTTCATATCTTGACTCTCTGAACTTCTTCATGGGGTTCTGAGTTACTCCCCGCCTGTTCAACTAGTGTTGTGAGTGTGTGTGTGTGTGTGTGTGTGTGTGTGTGTGTGTGTGTGTGTCTGTTGTGTGAAAGAGAGACAGAGAGGGAGGGAGGGATGGAGGAAGGGAGGAAGAGGGGGGGAGCTTCAGATTTCATGAAATCCATTTTAATCACCTGCAATCCACAACAGTCTGTAATTATAAGGCTCTTATGCTCAAGTACAAAAAAACTCACCGAGAAAGTAACATTAGGCTTGCAAGCGGAAACATGAAAATTCATGAAATGCACAATTAAGGATCCAGTGACAATGTTAACTCTCCCCTTTGCCAGCCCAGGCACTGGGCATTACCAACAAAACAGGCCAGTCTAAACCCTGAGGCATCATTCCCCGAGCTGGGAACCTTGATCCCCACGCCTGCTCTCTCTGTGGAGGCCTATTTGCTATTGCCACAGGCTGTCCTTGACCCAACTTTCGGGGTCTGAGTACTGGGGGGATGGTGGGAAGGGACAAATCTAGCTGTAGAGGGGAGGAACCAAACAGCAATGTTTGAGAAATGACCTCAATCCTGGCTGTCACCTGCAGAATCCCTGAAAGACAGGACCGGACCTTGATACTCTTTACCAAGAATCAAGGGAATTCAAGCGGGGTGGGGGGTGTGGTCACCTCCCATCAGAGAGGCCCAGCTCCCAAACTGCCCTTGTTCTACTCTTCCCTCAAATGCCTTAATCCAGCTCCTCCTGGTCTCTTGTTCGGAATGCTGCCTCCGCCTCCATGTCCGTGCTTGCGACCCGACCCCAATCCACTCTGTAAAAGGGCTTTCAGGCCAGTCTCCCTACGCATGCGCTGGAGGAGCGCCCCCTCCTCCTTCAGTGTCGTGAATAAGGCAGGACAAGAAGCTGGAGCTGCAGCATGATCTTAACTATGTTACATAGAAAAAAAAATTCAGAAAACGAGAAGGAAATGAAGTGTTCTCTGGTTACTTTTGGATTTGGTGCCTGTAGGGCAGGAAGTAAGCAGAGGAAGAGATTAACAGGGCTTTATACTTCTCTTACTTGTGCAAATTTTTACAGTGAATATAACTTACAGTCAGGAAAAAAATGAAATAAACTTTAAATGTCACCTTTGCTCAAAATCCTTCTGCAGTTCCTCATTTTCTACATGACAAAATAGAAACCCTGAGCCTGGTATTTAGAACCTTCTAAGATCTGGTCCTCATTTCAGGGCCAGCTGCATGGATGTGTGACCTGCACAGTGTCATGTTTGGTCGAATGCTCTGCTATGGCTACCTTGAAATTCTGAATAATTTTCGAACAAGAGATGCCCATTCTAATTTTGCACTATACCTACAAATTATATTAACTGGACCTGTTTGTTCATTAGAGTGTCTTCATCAAGAGAAATCACAGTCCAGTTACTTAGAACAATGCAGACAGCCCTTGGACTGCTGTGTTGGGTGAGGGTCTTCAGGCTGTGGTCCAGATGGTTAGAAAACCACACCATTGGGACTGGGGATGTTCTGGCTGGGGATGTGAAGAGCCAGGCAATACTGAGAACGTGTTTACGGAGCGCCTTGACCATTCTTTTAGGTTCCAGGAACACAGTCATGAATGAAGCGGGCTAAGTCCCTGCCAGAGTCAGTGCTAGTTAGGGGAGACACACAATAAATGCCAAGCTGATTATCTAATGTTGATAGTGCTATGAAGAAAAAAATGTATGAGGATAAGGGAGACAGACAGGGCTGAGAGGGGGGCACACTGTTTCATTTAGAACCTGAAAGGAAGTGAAGGAGCACTTGGATGATGGACACGGGGAGATGCAGATACCTACACACTAACGATACCCTGTCTGGGGTGTGCGGCACGGGGAGACTTGGTGGGACACAAATGAGGGCAAACTTACAGAACAGGGTGGGCAGAGGAAGGGGCTGGAACTCAGTCAACTTTGAATCATCTCCATGTGTTTTCCCCAACCCTCAGACCAGCAGAAATCACACCTTAGTAATTTTCCTTTTATTTCCACTACCATGAGCTAGCTCAGGTCTTCATTTCCCCTGGTTATTGCATAAACTTGATCTCATCTTTTTTCCTCATGCTACACCCTCTCTGGGGGTGATCGCAGCTACTTGTGGGCTGCAGCCTCAATCTTATTCTCCAGCCCTGACCTCTTTCTTGAACTCCAGATCTCAATATGCAATACCAGTGTCTTTGTTCCTGAGGAGTCTTAGTGTCTGAGAGAGGGGGAGTCTTTCCAACTTTCCAGGTGGTGATAGATGCTATTCCCATTTGGGATTTCCAAGGTGCTTACCTAACACAACAGAACCTTAGGAGCAAAGAATGGAAAGTGAGGCACAGAAGCAAAATCTGGGGAATTTTCTCCACCATCATATCAGAATATTAGGTTGGATTTTCCAGAAATTCAAAATCATCAGTGTCCCAGTGCTAACTGGAAAGTTCACAGGAGACTGAAGTACAAGGCAGAATGTCAATAAATTCATTGCCACAGAAAAACAAAACTGCCCCATGTTGATCTGATCAGTGCTTTCTACACAGGAAGCCAAATTACACTCAGAAGATATTTGGGTGAACACCGCAAACTACAAATGACATTCCTCACTTGTTCTGTGACAAGGGCTTAATATTCATTATATATAAATAGCTGGATGGAGAAACTGAGACTCAGAGAGGCCAAGTAGCTTGCCCCAGATAGCCATGTAAGCAGTGGAGCTGAGATTCAAGTTCAGCACCAAAGCCTAATTTGTTTAACCACTGACATACACTGCATAGATGGTATTGCCACAGAGAAAAGAGTGATAAGGTTTTGTCTAAGTCAAGTTAATGTTTAACATAATACCTGTGACAGTGCTCTGATAACAGCTTTATAGCCACACAGATGGGAATGATTCTTCTTGAAAATGTTTTCCCCAAATGAATCTTCATAATCAGGGTTTTATGTTAAATGCACTATATGAGTTACTTTTTCAAAAGACTCCTGCTGTAAAACAAGTAAATGATTTTGTTCCTGAAAATGAATAATCATCCTGATTTACCTATCATGTGGTATATCTGTTGGAGTCAAAGATGTATTTGTCTTGGGCCAGAAAGAATTCAGGTTTTAATTTCAGATCAACATCAGCTATGTTGCCTCGGACATGTGAGTCACCTACCCTCAGTTTTTCTTATCTGTAAAACAGTGATGGTATCATATACCTCACAGGTCTTCTTAGGGGGAAATATGGGAATTTGTGTAAAATGCTTAACATGGATCCATGTATGATAAATACAATTTTTATGAAAAATTTTCCAGTTTTATTGAGAAATAATTGATAAATGTCACTGTTTAAGACATACAGAATAATGGTTTGACATATATATTGCAAATAATCACAATAGTTTCAGCTAACACCATCTTCTCACATACATACAATAAAAAGAAAAGAAAAAAGGAAACACTTGGTTCTTCTTGTGATGAGAACTTAGAATTTATTTTCCTAATGATTTTCCTATATATCATACAGTAGTGTTAGCTATAGTTACCATGTGGTACATTACATCCCTAGTCCTTATTTATTTTATAACTGGAAGTTTGATCTTTTGACCACCTTCCTCCAATTCCCCTTTCCTCTGCCCTCTACCTCCTCTGGCAACTACAAGTCTGATTTCTTTTTCTATGAGTTTGGTGTTTTTGTTTTTTTGCTTTTTTCTGGATACCACATATAAGTGAGACCATACAGTATTTATCTTCATTTGGCATAATGCCTTTAAGGTCCATCCAAGTTCTCATAAATATTAGGATATCCTAAATTTTTATGGCTGAATAACACACACACAACAATTTCTTTATCCATTCATTCATCGATGGACATTTAGGTTGTTTCCATGTCTTGGCTATTGTAAACCATGCTCCTGTGAACAAGGGGTACAGATATCTCTTCAAGTTAGTGTTTTTGTTTCCTTTGGATATATTCCCAGAAGTGAAACTGCTGAATCATACGGTAGTTCTGTTTTTAATTTTTTGAGGATTCTCCATACTGTTTTCCATAGTAGCTATCCCAATTTAGAATCCCACCAACAGTGCACAAGGTTCCCTTTACTCCATGTCAATGTCAACATTTATTATCTCTTGTGTTTTTGGTGATGATCATTCTAATAGGCATGAGGTGATATCGCACTGTGGTTTTAATTTGCATTTCCCTAATGATTAGTGATGCTGAGCAACTAATCATGTACCAGTTGGCTTTTCATGTATCTTCTTTGGAGAAATATCTATTCAGGTCCTTTGCCCATTAAAAACATTTTTTTTTCAATTGGGTTGTGTGAGTTCTTTGTATATTTTGGATGTTAATCCCGTATCATATATATGGTTTGCAAATACTTTTTCCCATACCATAGGTTGTCTTTTCACTTTGCTGATGATTTCTTTTGCTATGCAGAAGATTTTCAGTTTGAGGTGATTCCACTTGTTTGTTATTTTGTGGCTTCTGCTTTAGGTGTCATATCCAAAAAGTCATTACCAAGACCCATGTCAAGGAGATTTTTTCCTATTATTTTCTTCTAGGAGTTTCATGGTTTTGGGTCTTACATTTAAGTCTTTAGTCCATTTCAAGTTAATTTTTGTGAGTGGTATAAGATATGAGTCCAGTTTCACTCTTTTACGTATGAATATCCAATTATCCTAGCACTATTTGTTGAAGGGACTAGCCTTTCTCCATTTCACGTTCTCGACTCCTTTGTCAAATATTAGTTTTATATGCTTGGATTTATTTCTGGGCTCTCAAGCCTGTTCCACTGCTCTATTTGTCTATTTTTATGTCAGTACCACATTGTTTTGATGATGACAGCTTTATAGTATAGCTTGAAATCAGGAAGTGCGTGGCCTCTCCTTTGTTCTTAAGATTTCTTTGGCTATTTGGGGTCTTTCGTGGTCTCATATAAAGTTTAGACATGTTTTTCTCTATTTCTATAAGAAATGCCATTGGAATCTTGATAGGATTTGCATTGAATCTAAAGATGGCTTTTAGTAATACTGACTTTTTAACAATATTAATTCTTCCAATCTGTGAACATGGGATATCTTTCCATTTATTTATGTCATCTTTAAATTCTTCATCAATGCCTTGTAGTTTTCAGAGCACAAGTCTTTCATCTCCTTAATTATATTTTTCCTAAGTATTTTGTTGTTTTGGTGCTACTGTAAATGGGGTAGATTGCTTTCTTTTTCAGAAAACATGTTGTTAACGTGTAGAAACACTACTAATTTTGGATGTAAATTTATATTTTGCAACTGTACTGAATTCACTGATCAGATCCAACTGTTTTTGGTTGAGTCCTTAGGATTTTCTTTTCTTTTCTTTTTTTATTAAGGTATCATTGATATACACTATTATGAAGGTTTCACATGAAAAACAACGTGGTTACTACATTCACCCATATTATCAAGGCCCCCACCACATCCCACTGCAGTCACTGCCCATCAGTGTAGTAAGATGCCACAGAGTCACTGCTTGTCTTCTCTGTGCCACACTGTCTTCCCCATGATCCCCCTCACACCATGTGTACTACTAATAATACCCCTTGATCCCCTTCTCCCTCCCTAGGATTTTCTATATATCTAAAATCATGTCATCTGCAAATAAAGACAATTTTACTTCTTCCTTTCCAATTCTGATACAATTAATTTTTTTTCTTGTTGATTGCTCTAGCTAGGGCTTATAGTACTATATTGAATAGGAGTGGTAAGAGCGGGCACTCTTGTCTTGTTTCTGATCATAGAGGAAAATCTTCCAGCCTTTCATCATTGAGTATGGCATTAGCTGTGGGCTTGTCATATATGGCCTTTATTATGTTGAGGCATGTTCCTTCTATGCCTAATTTGTTATGAGTTTTTATCATGAATGGATATTGAAATCTGTCAAGTGCTTCTTCTGCATCTACTGAGATGATCATGATTCTTTCATCCTACTAATGTGATGTATCACATTGACTGATCAGCATATGCTGAACCATCTTGCACCTCTGGGATAAACCCCACCTGATCGTGGTGAATGAACCTTATAATGTGCTTGTGAATTTGGTTTGCTAGTATTTTGAAAATTTTTGTATCTGTATTTACCAGGTTAACTGGACGGCAGTTTTCTTTTCTAGTACTCGCCTTTTGGTATCTGGATCATGCTGGCCTTGTAAAATGAGTTTGGGAGTGTTCCCATCTCTTTAATTTTTTGGAAGAGTTGGGAAGGATTGGTATTAATTCTTCTTTAAATTCACCAGAGAAGCCATCTGGTCCTAGAGGTTTTTCACTGGGAGACAACTGATCACTGATTCAACCTCCTTACTAGTAACTGGGCTATTCAAGTTTTTTATTTCTTCCTAGTTCAATCTTGGTCATTTGTATGTTCCTAAGAATTTTTCCATTTCTTCTAGACTGTCCAGTTTGTTGGCAGGTAGTTGTTCATACTAGTGTCTTATGGTCCTTTTAATTTCAGTTGTAATGTCTCCTGTTCTATTTGAAATTTTGTTGACTTGGGTCCTTTCTCTTTTTTCCTTTGTTGGACTAACTAAGGGTTTGTGAATTTTGCGTGTCTTTTCAAAGAAACAACCTTTTCTTGGCTAATCTTTTTTATTGTTTTTCTGTTCTCTAGTTCATTTATTTCTTCTCTAATCTCTATTATTTTCTTTTTCCTGTTAACTTTGGCATTGGCTGCTTCTTCCTTTTCTAGTTCCTTAGGCACAGAGTTAGATTATTGGGGATCTTTCTTGCTTTTTAATGTAGTCATTTATTGCTATCAACTTTCCTTTTAGAACTGCTTTTGTTGCATCCTATAAGTTCTGGTATGTTATGCTTCCATTTTTGTTTGTTTCAAGAAACCTTTTTATTTGCCTTTTAACTTAGTCTTTGATCCACTGGTTGTTCAGAAGAGTGTTGTTTAATTTCCATGTTTGTGAATTTTCCAGTTTTCCTTTAGTTGATTTCTACTTTCATGCCATTATGGTCAGAGAAGATACTTAGTATGATTTCAGTCTTCTTGAATTTACTAAAATGTGTTTTATGGCCTAACATATGGCCTGTCCTAGAAAATGTGTCATGTGCACTTGAGAATGTGTACACTGCTGTTGGTGGATAGAACACTTCGTATATGTCTTTTAGGTCCATTTGGTCTACAGTGTTCAGATCTGCTAATTCCTATTGATTCTTGTCTGGATGATTATCCATTCTTGAGAGTGGGGTATTAAAGTCCCCAACTATTATCATATTACTATTTATTTATTTTTAAGCTCTGTTAGTTTCTGCTTTATATATTTTGGTGGTCTAATGTTAGATGCATAAATATTGATAAGGGTTAAATCATCTTTGTATATTGACCCCATTATCATATATAATGAGTTTCTTTGTCTCTTTTACCAATTTTAAAGTCTACTCCTGTTTTTTTTTGGGTTACCATTTGCTTGGAATGCCTTTTACCATCTCTTCACTCTCAGTCTATGTGTGCCTATAAGAAAAAAGTGTGTTTCTTGTAGGCAGTACATTGTTGGATCTTGTGTACTTTAAAAAAATACATTCGATCATTCTACATCTTTTAATTGGAAAATTTAATCCATCTACATTTAAAGTAATTATTGATAGTAAAGACTTACTATTGCCATTTAGTTGATTGTTTTTTGGTTGTTCTGTAGATCCACTGTTCCTTGTTTCTTATTCTGCCATCTTTTTGTGTGCATTTTGATGTTTTTGGTATCATTATGCTTTGACTTCTTTATTGTGTTATTTTGTGTAATTTCTAAAGGATTTTCCTTTGTGGTTATCATGTGGCTTACATAAAATAGCTTAAACATATAATACCCTATTTTAAATGATAACAGCTTAAGTTCAGAATTCCTACACATTATAATTTTACTTCTCTTCCTCTTCATGCTAGGTTATTGTTGTCACCATTTACATTTTTTAAATTGTGTAACTAATAACAGATTATTGTAGTAATGGTTATTTTTACTAGTTGAATTTTTTTAACTTTTGAATTAGAGTTGTAAGTGAATTATACACTGTTATTACCATATCACACAATATAAGTATGACTATGTAATTACCATTATGCTACCTTTGTATGTTTTTATGTTGTTAATTAACATTCTTTTACTTCCATTCAAAGAACTCCCTTT